AAAGACATCCTTTTCCTATCAAGTACCTGAAGATTTATGGAAAACCCTTTGGACAACTCAAGTCCCCCCTTCCCCCCCACAAAAAAAAAAAAAATAAATACAGTCTTTTATGCGAAAAGTTGCAAATGGGGCTTTAACGACTAAATGGGGATTATGGAGAAAGAAAATTTCTATTACTCCCATTTGCCCAGTTTGTGGGGAAGAGGATGAAACTATCAAACATCTCCTCTTAATATGCCCGTGGTCTCAAAATGTATGGAAGATGATGAGTCGTAGAGATGAAGGAGAAAAGGAGGGTCAGGCTATCCTGGTATACTTGTGTTGGTTCATATGGAAGGCAAGGAATGAGTGGGTATTCAACCATCAACAGCCCAATTGTAAAAATGTCATTAATAGAGCAGTGCAGGCTGTGGAAAAGTTAAAGGATAGTTGGGAGACAAGGACAGAGACCAATAATCCTTCGTTTTCTGTTGGAATTGTTTGGTAACCACCGCGTGGAGTGCTAAAGATTAACTGTGATGGAGCAAAGCTTTAAGAGACAAAGGAAGGAGCTTTTTCTGTTTTGGCTCGTGACCATGAAGAACGTTTTATCTTAGGTGAGGCTCAAAGACTGGTGGCATCATCCGCTTTGGTAACCGAAGCCCATGTAATTAGGAGAGCATGTAAGCTAGTAGTGGAGCAAGGTATGATTGAGTAGTTATAGTTATTGAATCTGACTCGAAACAACTCATTAACTCCCTGCGTAGAGGCTGTGTGGATTGCCTATAGGAGATTGCACTTATCCAGCAAGATATCAAGAACTATCCACTTTCAGGGGATAGATGATGTACCAAGAGTATTGATGGGTATCATTAAGCAAGAAGCTAGAGTTTGAATAGGTTAAGTGCAAGAGTATGTAATGGCTGATGGTTATGTTTTTGTTTAGTTAATGAAATTATATTTTCTTGACCAAAAAAAAAAAAAATTGCCAACACCCACGAAGAAAATATACATTGCTTAGCGTGCACCATGTATGACTACCATATGATACCCACCCCTAATAAAAAACAGCCACAAAAATTATTTTGCAAGTCGCATGGTGACAATTAAGACTGATAATTGAGTCGAATCTATTAAACTCGTTCTTTTAAACGAGTCTAAAAAATTATTCAAACATGACTCGTTTAGAAAATAAGCTGAGCATAAATCGAACTCAAAACAAACCGAGTTCAAATAGCTCAACCATATTACATACAAATGAGCTGAGCTTTGCAAAATCAAGTCAAGCCTTTTAGGCTCATTTTCTAAACGAGCTTAAAAAATTGTTCAAGATCAATTCGTTTAGAACACGAACCGAGCCCGAGATGAGTCTTATCTAAACCGAGTCAAGCCCAACCCGAATAACTCGGCTCACTTATCAACCCCAGTGATAGCCACACAAAAATATACATATAACGTGCATTCCTACACGCCTTAGCTTAACACTACCATGTGATACCTATTAAGCACCGGATATTTTTTCTTATTTAGGCTTTTGCATGTATTTTTGAAAATGTTCTTTCTTTCAATCTCAATGGATAACTCAAGTGATAATATGGACAAATTATAAACCCAGGAAACCTAAGTTCGAATTTTGACAATTTTTTTGAGTCAAGCCACGAGGAATGAATTTATCCACCATGAATACCTTATTCCCAACATAGATAACCTACCTTTAATTGGAACGGAGAAAAAATTAATTGAGGTGCACATAAAGTTATCCAAATAACTTGAACATTGAACCAAAAAAAAAAGAGAAAGTGCTCTTGTTTTTAACTTGGGGAGATAATTCACCCAGATTTGTGTTTCTTATCTGATACCATTTGTTGATTCAATTTACCAATTAAATTGGAAATTGAAAATATTTCCCAGTATTCAAACTAATGAAAAGAAACAATAAGACCAAACCACCTTAAAAATTAATCAGAGATAAAGAGCACATTATCGAAACACTTCATAAGGCTATTTACTAGGGAGGAAAATACCTCCACAATAGTAATTGAGGAAGAACTCCAAATCAAACTACTTAATAGTGACAAATATGAGATAAGAGTTTACCTGTCTCTCATGAGAAATAACTCAATAAGAAGACCTCCATTTACGGTGTGTTTGGTAGGATGAATGAAAAAAAAGAAAAGAAAAATAGAAGTAACACACTTTATACCCTTCAATAAAAGAAACCTTCCTCTCTCTCTGTGTTAGGTACGAATAATTGATTTTTTATTTTTTTTTCTTGTTTGATATGAATGAAAAAGTGAAAGGAAGAGGGAAAAAAAAACATGCATATTTTGCTATTATATCCACATAATATATTCATAGTATGTCAAAGATAAATAGGACATATATATGTATCAAAGATAAATCTATATATATATATATATATATATATATATATATATATATATATATATATATATATATATATATATATATATATATATATATATATATATTAAAAGGATAGAGAGTGAATAACCTACACTTCCAACACACATACAATTGATAATGTCATTATCACCCAAGAGGAGGCATGTAATAAAGGTAGATTAGAGCAACAGACCTAAATAGATTTCAACTTGCCCCAATCCTGGATAAACACAATAACGTGTGTGGTGTGGTGTGTACGTGGAAAAAATAGGGCAACCTGTATAAAGGAAGTCACAGCACGGACAATGGAGAGGTCTGAAAGCCTCTAAAAGAGTGGACCTGAATAACACCTCCGTTTTTTTGTAGATGATATTATAATGTTTGTTCTCAAGGGCATCAGAGCAAGGTTGTTACACCTACTCTACAAGTGAGTAATCACACAGAAATTAATGGAAACCAGGGATGGATATGGAAATTAGAGAGGTACAACAAAAACTGAAATATTTCCTGTGGCTCATTCAGAATGATAGGATCATATCAATCTACCTGAAAGTCACAAGAAATAGTCAGTGTTGCCAGTTCCAACAGGTGTAATGATCATCCAGAAACAACTTATCCACGTACTAAGAGACCGTAAAAAAGCACAGGCAGTTTGGGGCAAATTCCTGGACAATAAGAAAAGAACCTCAGACAAAGACCCATGCCTAAATAGTTGGCTCAATAGACATTTCCAGAATAGAGACCAGAAAACATAGAGGGGACTTAGGTGCCCTCAGATTTTCATATCCATCCCTTTGGAGTATATGGAAGGGTATAAACATAGAAATAGAAAGTATAAAAAAGATAGAGACTCCTTCATTACATTGTGGGAAAAACATGGTAGGCAGTTGGCTTTGGAAGTATGCAAAGCTTTAAAAAGTTAAAGCCAACAGACAACCAAAACCAATAGCTGTCTTTTCCCAAATGCGGGATTGTTTAAGCTGAACACAGACGGAGCTTCAAAAGGAAATCCAGGACTAGAAGGCACTGGAGGATTAATCAGAAATGATCAAGGTCTCTGGTTAACTGGATTGTATGGCAGATTAAACCCAACAACCAGCCTCAAGGCCAGACTATGGGCTATAAGTCAAGGCTTGGAGTTGTTCAAAAGAGACGCTGAAGTTGAGGTGGAAACCGACTCCCTGGAAGCCTATAACCCACTGCCAAGTGATTAGGAAAACAGCCATCCATGTGAAGCTCTCATGTAGAACCACACACATCTGCTAAGCAGAAGTAGCATCAAGATCATACATATCCTTGGAGATGGGAGACAATGTGCTGATGGATTGGGCCAATCTGGGAGTGAACCAATTCAAAGGCTTAGTTGAACTGGATAAGCCCCAACTGAGATAAATTAGAAGTCTGCTAAACACAGAACTTGCTAGCGTAATCGTTGTGCGAGTCCCAGGTGACTCTTTAGTTCTCAGACTTCCAGAATCTTCCAATGTAAGGAAAAAAAACAAAGAACATAGACCGCTGCTAATCTAATCAACTGCTGCAACGTCAATAATTTTCTACGGGTTCAAGCACAATATTCCAATGTGACGATGTTAGCCAATTTTTTTTTAAATAACAAATTTACCCTTCGCCTATACATAAGTCTTGTACCCAAATACCCTTATTTTTTTATCAAAGAAAACTAGTCCTACAATTTTATCTTTCTTCATGTCTCACATACTAAGTATCTCACGCGCACACTCATGCACACACAAAAACACGTTTGTCCAATTTGTAAGCTAGGGAAAATTTTATTCTTCACCACCAACTACAATGCAAATTACACCCCTTGAATGTTAATTTAGTATGAAATTGATAAAAGTTAAAATTTTAATTTGGCATTAAATTAATAAAATTAATGTTAATCTCATGAAATCAAATATAAAATTTATGAAAATTAAATGTTAATTTGATGAAATTCAATGTTAGTGGGATTAAACTGAATGTTAATTTTAGAAAATTGAATATTGATTTAATGAAATTAAATATCAATGTTAGTGTTAAATTGATAAAATTTGTGTTAGTGTGATAAAATTAATATTTGAATTGATGAAATTAAATATCAATTTGATAAAATTAAATGTTAATTTGGTGAATTGAAAGTCAACTTGGGGTGTATAACAACACCAATATAAATAAGGATGGATATCTGTTAACTCTTAAAACATCTAATTCTTATTTTATTATTGCTATTATATAATATATATTCGCATATAAATTGATGTATATGCATATTAATATAATATAAAAAAAGAGTTATTTTAACATTGGTCAAATAAGATTTTAATCTAAGGTCAAATTAAGTAATAAGTATAGAACAAAAGAAAGGAATATTCCGTGAGGTATAGTAATATCATTTACTATTTTCTATACAAAATCTGATAAGGGGTGACAGTAATATTTTAGAAACCATTGATGGTATACTTGTAATTAGGCCATTTTTCAGGTGGTGTCAATGAAATTTACCCTACTTTTTTAGGTTCCTCATTTTCTGAATATAGGATGGTTTCCATTTCCTTACTGCTGATTTGTTTATCACGGTTCAAAATAGACTGTCAAACTACAGAAATTACTCAAGGATCCAATGCATGATTGCTTTTAAATTAGAAAATTGTAATATTTTTGCTACAATGAATCAAGAAAGAATTAATCATTATTCGTTTTCTCAACTAATACATACAACAATAAAGCCGAACGCTACCTCTTTACCCGGCCTGCATGCTCTCCCCAAAATAGTTATCCAGCTGCGGAAGATATTTTGACCAACAAAACGTAATAAGGCGTAGTAGTGGCCACAAAGGTCAGGTCAGAAAAGCTGCTTAGACAACCTGGGAAACTGAAACACATTAGTACCCAGAGGAAAAGAAAGCACCCAGCCAAATAAGAGGTGTTGTGCCCCCACCTTATTCAGATTGTGGAGATCTACACTTCGGAAGAAAGGCCGTAATAAGAATCCAGGTTAAGCTTTAGGCAAATAGCAACTATGCCCAAAGAAGCCCATCAAAGCCCAATTCAGAATTTGAAACTGGACTGTCCCCTAAATCCGGGAGAATAATTGTTTGATTCTCTCCTACAGAATCCACGTATGGCTCCGAAAGATCAGAAGATCTTTCAGATGGAATCCCATAGTCTTTGAGAATGCGAGTGGATGCAGCCAAAGCCACCTCCCTTTCCAAAACAGCCACATAATTGTCTTCAAATTCAAAAACTAGATACTTGTCCTTGCATGCTGGGCAAATATCAATCAACTATGAAGGACCAGCAATTTAGGTAGGCAGAAGGAAATCAGTTGGTGAGATGTGAGCACTTACAATCAACGAGATGAGCTAGGTGATGTATGTTCTTTATTCGAGTTCCATTTAACTTCAAAACCTACCATTATTTAATCTTGAAATTCAGTTACATGAATCACCAATTATATTCAAAGTTGAGGTGGCAAAAAGTAACTTGCCTGCTCATTGCTCATATCTTCATAACCAATGTTAACTTCATTAGCTAAGACCTGTATGTGGAATTTCAGATTAGTGAAGCAAAATCCTAATAGTATTAACCAATGTCTGGCAATTTCGAGAATTGGAGTGTCAGGCAGAAACCAATTTTTTGTGGTGAGAGGAGCGAGAAGAGGGGATTGGGGGGTAGGGGTGTTAAGGCATAACAAAACCCAAGGCATTGTATTTGTGTAAAGGCTACATGTGCAAGTGAATCGCAGCTTGGTAGCACCAATGCTCAGCTTCTCATATAACTGAATGGAAAGCCGTGCACCTACCTGTGATAGGATCACAATCTGTTCTCCTTCAAACCTTGCCAAAGAGTAGCGTGCCTTCGCCAATAGTTTTAACTAAAACCAAAAGAGAACTAGTTAACTTCAGAATATACATAAATCAACTGGGTCACACAAGACCCATTGGAAGTATATCATGTTAATAGATATCATCGAGTAACTCGACTTACCCCTATGCTATCTTCGCACTCCTCACTACCAGCATAAAACACTATTTTAATATGATGAGTAGAAATTGCTGCATAATAAATAAAATTCGGCAATAATTTCACCATTGCTAAGCACAAAAATTTAGCAACATACTCTATTAGTGGTTCTGACAGAGGCGTAAATACCAATCCAGCGACTATCAAATAAGAAGGCTGCCCTCCTTCAATATGATATGGGACCTCGACGAAAAAAACAAAATGGATACAAATTCAGTATTCATAGAGGGGATCACAAAAAAAGAAGGAAAGTTATTAAGATTCACGTCATCACAGAACAAAATTACTGTTAGCATACCAAATGTACCCGTGGATTTAATATCGCTTGAACTTTCATGAAATCCCCTGCTCTAATGATACCAAGCTCTGTAACATCACCTGCAAATCTGGACTAGAATATCCTTAGATCTAAAGATAATATTCAAATTCTTCTTCAAAATGGAAAAACACATCTTTTATGGACTGTGGGAAAAAATAATTCATAAGAGTGTGGGAACACTGTGCATGCACCTATTCCAACTTCAGCCTAAAAGAAGAAACAGCCTATTAGGAAGCATACTGTGCATTATCGTACAGATTACTCTCAAAAGGCATCGATGCTAAATGAAAAAGCAAGCCAAGCAGATAACTAGACAAAAAACCAAACTTGAATACTAGAACAAACTTGATTGCAGGGACCAGCCCAGTCCGCACATGACATTATTTAAGGTCCTCTGCAGTAGAACATTTAAGCAGTATCATATAAATAACTGTACAACAAAAGCAACTAGTATTATTCAATGGTATACACTCTTGAGTTCCCAGGAAAGCATAAACATGTAATGCACAAAATATTGCCAACTGTATAATTTCTTTGTACAAGGGTTGATCAGTGTAGGATTTACTTGAAAATGCGCAGTACAAATTTCAAATTCAATAAGAAACTTACTTTTGACTTATGAGGTAGCGAAATGCAATACGTTCAGTCGATCTGAATGGGACAGTCCCTTCACACCCCACATGAACTCCATCAAAGCTTACAATCACGTCCCCCTAGAAAAGCATGAAATTTACAAGTATTATTTCACCACTTGAATTAAAAATAATATAACTTTCCAACAAAAAGCTACAAGCCCAAGATTTTGCGGCTAGCTGACAAGGCAAAGAACACCAAAATTCATTTGAGGTTCACGGTTCACCATATATACAGAGGCAAGATTGATAACATGTAAAAGTAAAAAACTTAAAACCCCAGCAAACTATGTGAAATGCATCGTTTGAACCAGATTATGCTTCCATTCGACAAACTTACTATGCCAGTTTGCATGCTAAATATCAAGTTCGTCGGAATTGAGAGAGATCCCCTCCAAATAACACTCGAACTCGAACCTTACTTATATTTACGATGGAAGAAAAGTCAGTTCAGTGATAAGGTAGCTGCCTATAACCTGTCAAAACTTGAAGGTCATCACTCACAATAAGAACGGCGGGAGCATATATTCCGCTCAGAAAATCTGAGACCAGCGAACAGTTAATTGTATTATCTGGAAATAGCAATTCTTTCACCAAGTGACCCATATTTATGTGTGTAGTCATAATAAGAGACAATACACAACAGCTTCAGGAAATATTAAAGATTGTGCCAATCTGTGGTGAACTTGGCCCAGAAAGCTTCTAGGGTTAGGGTTTTATACAATAGAATGGAGGTTGCAAGCTTAATGGAAGGAAAGGGTCGCTTGCATTTCAAAGTGATTCTGCAATGAATTTCTATAAAAAAGCATGCCAAAACCCTCAAAGATAGAAAGAATTCCAAGGTTTTGGTGTTCATTGCACATCCAAAAGGCAGGGTAATGTGCTGGGGTTGATTGTGGATTTATTGGATGAAGTTTCCAGCTGAAACAGGTGCTCTGCTTTGTGCCTGTGATAGTGTTGGTTCCTCAGTTATTTTGTCATGAGGCCTGAGTTTTTTATGTTGGGAAGGTTTGGGCTTTGTAAAGCAAAGATGTCTGGGATGAAAGGAGAATGTTTGAGGGTCTGAACCGTCTGGTAGCATGAACAAAAAAGTATTAAAGAGAATGAAGAAAATGAGGACAAAAAACCTAAAAAAACCCAACTTTAATTCCCAAACAATCACTTCCCATGACAAGGCCAAATAAAGAATCACAAATGCTTCACAAGTTCCCAAAAACTCAATTCATTCCTTACTACCATTTAATTGAAAGGATAATAGGATTATGACTCCACAATTAGGAGGTTACGGACTTGCTTTGTATCTAGTAAGACCATTCTAGGTCATCTACGACTCAAACTAAAATGCAAATAACTAAATTTATCCCAAATTAGAACCAATCAACTATGGATACTACCCCTGTGCAACAATTATCGAAAAGAATAAAATAACCTTCATTACAAATACCTAACAAGTATAAATCCAACAGCTTACTAATCCAAAACTAACACCTAAATCATAAATATTACTCTAAACCTTATGCCCATGCATGAAGTACCATAATCCCCCTTTTATAGTATAGCCTGCATCAAAAGAGATGCTGGAATCAATGTTGATGTGATGTAAGAAGGCTTCAAAAATTTACACCCAAAATGACAACATTACAAAAAATCTAAAAGCACTGTTTTTTGGCTTAATTTTAGCAATTACAAACAAATTTACCTTTATAGAAGGAATGTTCTATATAGGCAATAATCCCAAACCTTTTCTACTGGTTTACATTGACAAGTGTGGATAAACCACATAAAGAATGTCCAGTAAACTCTCAGGGATACAAATGGAGGCATACCTCCTTCAAGACATTTCTGGCATCAGATGTGGGCTCAACTCTCCGAACAAGAACACCCTGCACAGACGGATACCACGGCAAAAATTCAGCTGAGAAGGAGAACATAACTCGCTTCACAAGATAAGAATAAGGTGCTATACAGAATATTCTTACAAGCTTTACCATGAGATGCCCAATATTTCCCAAGGCACCCCGAATCTAGTCCAGGGGAAATCAAAAAATATTGCCTGCTTTGCATGCTCAAGTTATCCCAATATTATGTGTTTCCCATTAATACGTTCTCTGCCATTCAGTTTATTAAGGGAATATCTGCTGTTATACAAATAATAATCACATATGAGCTTTCCCCACTTGATCCATGACTGATGGTATTTTTGTAACCCAGATTTCTCAATAAATGCATAAAGTGGGCATTCCAAACGATTGCTGTTGGGATATTATCTTCTCTGCTCTATAATGACAGTTGCTGCATTCAAAAACCTGTCAACTACTGCTTAAATTTAGCAGCCTTTAAAAATCCACCAACTAAGATTAATACGCACAAATGAAATTTTAAATCATGTCATAAATTCTCAACTAATCAGCAATGTGCATTAAAGGCCATCCCTTGACCAACGATAGTATCACAAGCATATGTTCATAAATGTTTTAGATGCTAAGATGTATTTCTGAACTTTGACTATCTGAACAGTGAACACGAAGTGTTGGAAAATTACAATACTACTTATACTTCTCTATCATGACATAGTTTTACAAGGAAACCTCTTCCCATTTCCCAGTTTCAATGTCCTCCTTAGTACCACTGCCACGTTCCACTCTTTGGTCCTTAATCTTATAGTCTTTACCAACTCAAAATACATGAAAAATACTCTTTTTGAAAACTCAAAACACACAACACATACCCATTATTTATACTAGGAGTCGTCCGAACAACTCAAAAGTGCAGATTTCACAGTTTATAGCAAACAAGTTTGAGTTAATAGGCTGGTTAGGTAGGATTTATATATGAGGCAGGGTGAGAGCAGCCCCTCAAGTCTACTAATTTTTTTATTGTGTGATAGCTCTCTTCACGCCCTCCTATGTGCAACTCACATGGGCTAAGAAACCGAATTGAAATAGACAAACATACAACTGGAGTTGAACCCAAATAGACTGAAGAATTTAACTGAGTGAGAGATTTGGCCCACCAACTAACTACATAGGGTTCAGCTCTAATACCATTAGAGCATCTAACAAAAAATCGAGTGGCCCCTCGAGTATATTACAACTCGATCTAGGGTCTAGTTGATTTTTCAATATGGGATAACTCCCTTCACAATGGGTATTGGAAATAAAATAGTGCATCGTAACAAACAGGTGGATTGACAGTAAAAAAAAATATGTAAGATTGTCTAAGAACTGATTCCAAATTGCTGGTATATATTTTCAGCAAGTAAAAGATGAAGCACGTTGAAGTATCAATACTTCAATTACACCCACTCTTAACAGGTTCAGCTTTTGGAGAACATGGTAGAAGGGGCGGCTCAAAGCTATTTGAGGCCTAAAGTAGAAATATTAAATAAAGTCTTTATTTTTATTATTTACTTTTTAAAAAAATCAATTTATTTTTAATTTCTTACACGAGAGAGACAGAAGAAAGATGTGTTAATGTTGCCAAGAAAGAAGTTTCAATTTTTATTTGTGTTTTTTACCCGAGAGAAAGGGTGTGTTTAATTTTAACTATTGTTTATGTTTTTTACTTTTTATACTAGAGAGAGAGAAAATAGGTGGAAGTAAATATAATTGACTTTTGAATACTTTTCTATTTTTTTAACTTCTAATTTTTAGTTTTTCAATATTATGGATTGGATCATAAGCCTAAATTATTACAATAAAAATTTTGATTGGACTTTTTTTTTGGGGGGGGGGGGGTTAAGGGTTAAAATTTAATGGATTTAAATTTTTTTTGTGGGCCAGTAATGTACCTAAAATTATGGGGCCTAAAACCAAGGTTTTATTTTTCATACTGCTGGCCTGGCCTTGCAATGCTAGACCCAAAACCTACCTTGCACGTGAGGGGGATTTTTACCTCTGTAACAGCTTAAACTTTTAAACTTTTAGAGTAGATGGTTGTTCAACAAAGCAGAAACTGCAAATGCAGGGTTTGTGAAGTTAAGTTATAACTTCACAACACCAATAACATAGAAAAAGTTATTTTTCTACTAAGCTGCTGGCTTACAATACCACTGAACAAGTTGCAATTACAGGAGGCTTGTGGATGTTTTGGAACCTCAATATTAATTCTTAAATTAAGCAGGAGAAAAATCATTGCTATGCAGAAATGTTAGGGACGGTGTAAGCAAGTACGGGTGTCTGGACGAGAGAGAGAATACATTAATTGGATCTGAAATTTTTTTCACATTCCAAGAACTCTTTAGTTGACTAACTTGAAGTGACGAGTGTATGTGCAATGAGAATCATTGGAGATTGTGGTGGATAATTAGGGTTTTATATTTTTAGGGTAGGAAATTAGGGTTTCATATTACATAGAGTCGGATAAAGATGGCACTTGGCATTAAGAATTGATCACAGAAAATCAATTATAATACCCGAGAAGTGAGGTCAGGAAGCTACCATATAGCTTGCAGGATGGACACAAGGAGAGATGTCTCTCTGGAAACCTATTCTGCTGACTCAAAAAAAAAAAAATATCCCAACTTTCTTCGAAGGGACTTTTGGGCTGCGCAACCAGTATCAAAAATGATTAAAAGCTACCAAAATCTCCGTAGAAGTTTAGATATACCAATATTCACACCAGCAAAATAGAACTTTTTGGCTATATACACAACCAAAATTACTGATCATTTTGTTTTACAAAACCAAGGAACAAACCTCACTAGATGGCACTTTTAAGCAGGCGCGGAGGGCTGGGTTCTCCAATTTCTGCAGCAACACCCCAAGGCAAGGGAAACCTGAAAATTTTTGTGTAACTCATTATTTGAGATGATTTCATGTCAGATGGACAGCCACAATCAATTTCAAAAAGATTTGAACCTTATTAGAGACAGGTGAAGCGCAATATATGAGTATATGACAGCAACAACGATGGTATAAACACTAATGTTAAAAGCAAGAAGACACGGGGAACAGAAAGATGAGCTGACAGATCTGAAGGAACCAAAGTGAAAGTGTCAGAATTCTGGCGCACATGACCCAACATAGTGGTTTTGTGGGTGCTTAGAATGAAATAACAGAACAGCTGTTATCAACCCAAAGCACTGTGGCTTACAAGCCTGGTAGCAAAGAGACAGAAACATGACATTTGCAGCCTGTAAACTCTTAACAAGTTGTAAATAGATCACAAAGGTGTTGGGGGACTTGTGTATAGGCTTTCCAAAAGGTTTGCTCGTATTGAAGGATTTCTATAGGTGGCTCAAACCGAAATAACAAGCATGTTGTACGAGTGATAATAATTTTCATCAAAAGTAAACACAAAATACTTTATAAAGTAAAACATAAAGGAAATGTACCCCACTCAAACTGATTGAAGTTATCTAAATATAGAATCTTCATCCTTAGATCACTATGCATTATCATTATTGCTTAAATCAATATATACTCATTTCCAAGCTAAATAACAACCGTGAACATAGTTTCTGACATTACTAATCCGGCATGGATAGAATATGAGAAAAGTGCTAACCAGTGTACTTTCCGTTCCTCTCGTAGTCATCAAGAAAATGAGACACAACAGTAGTTGGAATCACATATCCGATATTTTCAACCTCTTCAGATCTGTAAACCTAAAGGAAGTGTCTTGTGAAAACATAGTAGAAAAATAAAGGAACAGATTTCTAATGTGAGGAAAGTTTGTCAAAGAATGAGACACCGGGAGAATCATCAGTTCATTAAACCAAGATAAAACAAAATAACTGTTGCACATGGTCAAATATTAAAATTCAAATGATGTTGCAATAGTCAAAAAAACATAAGAATCATTTTATAGAGGAGTTGCACATGAAAAAAAATACTGTATAGCAGCAAAAAATATATATATATAGGGAAAGCATTTACACCAAGTCAATTGTGATGTTCAACTTTGACAAAGAAATACCTGAAATGCCACACCGATGCACTCTCCCTGGTCATTGAATGCAGGACCACCGCTATTACCTAAAATCTAGCAGGTATAAGCATGGCTACAAGAAGAAAAAACCATTCTAAGGCAGCCAAATGGAAGAACTTTTATAAATTCAAGTCAGAATACATATTTACAAAAGTTTCAGTCAGAAAGGAATCAAAATATAGTAGTTTACAATCTTCTTACCAGGATTTATTGCTGCATCGATTTGAATACCCAGTAACTCAGATAATCCATGAGCATATGATGTGACCTATTTAGCATAGAATAACTAAAGCTTGATACATTGTTCTACATCTGGGCTCAAAGATGCATATTCTGGCTGAATTAAAATTCGTAGCATCAGTTCTATGCTGGTTCTTACTGATTTTTTTTGTGTAAACGAATAAAAAAGTGTAATATAGATGTTCAAGCAACTGTTTCTAGCATCAAAACATGAAGAGAATAATAAGTCAATCCACTCAAAAAGCATATATCACCCATGCAAGTACGACATCAGGGCACGAAGTTATGGTTGGTTCTGCATTTGATTGTATCAGCATGAAAAATTCTACGGGCAATCTAGATCAAAATAATTCAGGTGTAGTTGCTGGTTCAAGAAATAATGGAGACTTGAGAATATACATCAAAGAGTTATTCACGCCTTGGACTCCTTTTGGAATCTTGGACATGTTACACTTCAGTGCTTTAAGTTATAAAATGAACATGCAGCCCTGTAAAAGATGAAGGAATCGACAACAAGATAAACTTCTTCACCATACACTAAACGAAACAAGAAAGCATTAACATGCAACCTTTTTCACCTTCATTCCTCTTGAAGACCATTCCAATTTCTTATTTATATGTTATAGCATCCATCTAGTTAGAAATCTGCCATAAGGATATAAAATAAAAACCTCCAATGAAAACGACAGAAATGAGGATAAGGTGCTGCTAAATTAAAATGGTTATCCTGAAGAAAGCAAGTTCTTCCACAAAGATAGTTCAAGTAGGAAAATCTGTCACCTTACTAAGCATTTCAAATGAAATTTTAAATATGAATTTTAAGTAACATTTCAAATGAAACATTAAGTGTTGATAATTTCTTGAGATGACACTGGCTATTAGTCTCATTGATTCTGTTCATAAGTTAATTACCATTTATTATTTTGCTAACTTATTTTCCGTTTCTTACACCACATTTGATGTTGCCTATAGTCAATCAATTGTCGCCTTGCCCACACAAAAAAAACATGCATCATATAGGAATTGCAACACCATCGATTACCAGAATCATGAGATATGGAAATATGAAATTTTGGTGTGGATCACCTTTGAAACCAAAGTAAATGCATAAAAGTGATGGTTAGCAGTATGTCGGCAATTGATTACAAGACACGTGATTACAAAATGCAACCAAATAGACCAAACCTCTATGCGGGATACCACCCCTTTAGTCACTGAAATGGTGTCTCCTCCAAGTGGATATCCTACAACAGTCACCGCATCCTGCACATTGAGAAGTGAAGACCCCGTTTAAAAGGTTTACCCAGATGGCATCCCATTGCCTCGGCAAAGAGACTATGATTCACATTCTTTGTTCACAACTTTCCATAAAATACCAGACAGAATCAGTCATTCTTCGAGAGAAAAAAGCAACCAATGCCCCACATGTAAAATAAGCAGAAGAGGAGTTTAGCTAATGCAAAATGGAATTACCAGACGTAGTAAGTTAAAATGTAACATATTTATACCCATTCGCAGTAGTCAATGCATCTGGGCAAGACATAGTTACCTCCCATTTCCTCTTCGAAAGCCAGGCCTAGGCCATAGCCATGCAACGACCGAGAAAAACTTCTCTGTCTTCCATCCGAATTTCATCCAAAATATACGTTTTCATATCTGAAATTCAGTCAATGTCTACATAAAGACAAAGTATTGGAGCACGCATAAAACTGATGAAGTGTAGAGTCTAATGCCACTGTGTCAGAAATTGCAGAGTTCTAGGGTTGTAGCAACAAGCTGCCTGGCTACTTTTCCCCCTTTCATTTTCCAGGTAAGGGATTCTGTGGCCTTTCTAGGCTGAATGCGGCACGTAGATGGTTGAGGTAGATAAGGCAATGCCTTGATACAACCTAACTATGGAGCCCGCCTAGTAGGAGTGTCATGTGGAAGGCGTGATGGAAGAAAAGTTTGACAAGGATCACCACGTCTTCCTAACCATTAGAATATATTAACTCATTCTTGTTTGATAGTTCCTTCAGCATCTTATACTATAAAAGAGTGAATCCAACTCTTTCATCCCTCTACTGTTCAAATCCTACACTATATGAACTACGCCTGTTCTCTTCAGTTGCACACAAGTCATAGTTAAAGACTTAGAGACACAAAAGGGTAAAGCAAAAGTAAATGTAATCATGGGTTGAAATGGCCCCATCCTAGCATCTATATATTCATCGCGTACTGTTCAGAATAGGTTCCACACATAACACAGATTTCTCTTTTTACACTCCAAGAAGAGCCTAGACCACAACTGCCTTCTCTTTCCAAAAATCCATACCTGTTTCCCATCACAAATCATGGCAAAGATATGTTCTCTCCTTCTCCCTTTTTTCTATCTCTCAGGAAAGATCTCTTTTTCTCTATCAGAACAGATTTAGTGAAGGAGGAAGCAAGTCCTACGTTTTTCCTCACTATTCTCTTATGGGAAATCAGTTGCCTAGAAGTATCAATACAAAATTTTGGAGGTAGCAGATAGATTTTCTAATAGGAAGAAGCTTCATATCAGGTATTGTTCTTCACATAATATGGTACTCAAATTCTTCGCCACACAAACACACACTGAATCACCACCACTAAAGTGAACAATTCCAAACCCATAGGTGCATTATTTTCCAACCCTTGCACACAGAAAAATTGAGGCGCCAAAATGTGCGACGTGTGCAAGGTGTGTTGATGGAGAAGGCACTGGTGGTGGTCGGCAAAGATTAGATGCTGCAGATTCGTCCCATGGGATCAGATACTTTTTCTGCGACAATGGTGATCAGGAAGGTGGCTGCCGGTGGTTTGTGATAAGTAGCGCGGCGTGGTGTGGGCTTTGTACTAAGTTGCGGCTGCCACAGAGAGAAAGAGGTATGCAATATTAGAAGAACAAATAGGTAAAGATGATTCCTGACTTGTGTTTTTTGGATGATCTGCAGTGGTGAAGGAGGAAGGAGGTAAAGCCGTGCCGTGGAGGGAGGTGTGGTGGGAGGCAGCTGCTGGGTAGAGGATGAGGGCAGTGCTTTGTGAGAGGTTGGAATGGTGGTGAGGTCCTGAGCATTGGCGGTGGGGAGGGGGCCACGTAAGTTTGCGTAGTAGAGGAGAGTTAGTCATGGATTTTGATCTAAATTTTTTTTTTCTGTTCTTATGGTTTTAATCGGACAAATAAAGGTAAATAAATCTCTTTTGTCAAATTTATTAATGTCGTCTAACAATTTGGGTTCTACTTTCATTTCTCAAATTATAAGAAAGCCCATATGATGAATCAATTTTTTGGAAACTCTCAATTTTTGTTTAGTTTTCTTTCTTGTTTCAATTGCGATTGACCTGAATTGTATGTTAAATGATTTTTAACATGCCCAGATTTTCTGCGATTGACCTTAATTTGAATATTTGCGATTTCTTTTAGGTTCTTAATTTCAATGTGAAATTGCTTACAAGTAGTCCAGGATTGTGTTTTATTTTTTTTATAATTGATCTTTATATAGACAAAATAAGTATAATCTAAGAAAAAATAAAGTTTGTAGTTAAAGGGTCTACCCTCACACAAATTTGATAACTCTATTCATGAAAGTTTTCCTTTTCTGATTTCTTCAAATCTTTCTTCTCTCTTTTGTGTTTATCAGTAGTTTTACTTGGCTTTGATTTGTCAACAAAGATAACTTGAAGCAAATTAAATATCTAGACATTATATAGTTGACAGTGACTAAAAATTTAAATTATCATGTACTTAATGAATTATTCATTCATTGATTTTTTACTACATCATGAAAATAAACCTTAATTAGCGTGCATTGCACGCAGGAACCTCACAAGTTATCATACAAAATCACAAAAAGAAAAAACTCTATAACGGTAAGACCTACATATATTGGCAGCGGAAACTGTTATCCTTAGAGGAAAAAAGATGAAAAGACAACAACCTGCAAACGTGGCAGGCATCCAAGATGAAGTGGTTCAGCTCCTTTCCAGAATTCCTTGCTTTCCACTGAAAGTAAAGCTATGTCACATTCCACACCTCTGGCTAAAACCTGTACATGGGATCACTGAGTATAATGACAGATGTTATAATATATCAAATTGACCTTTTTCTCCAATGATGGTGAAACACTCGACTTGAACAATTTGAGCAAACAGTAATAAACATTGACAATATACCACCAATGCAGAAAGGTTAAAAATACTATTTTACTCATAGTAGAGATTTTTTAAAAGAAACTGCGTACCAGCTATAGACAAATGAAAAGCACATTAGTTGACATAAAACCCAATGATGTCAAATTCATCATGAAAAACAATCTCATGGACTTAAATAGAAAATAAACAAAGAAGATTGCCTTAACATAAAACTGGTTTGGTGGAAAGATAGCATTACCCTGCAACAAGTTAAATGATGAGTGGAAAACAATTTGTAGCAGTGCATGGACCAAATCACTTACAGAATTCACAAGTAAATTTTTCATGAAATAATATCACCTACGGCTACTAGTTTGTTTCGTAAAGACTCTGTTAGGCTGGTTATGCCATTGCTGGCCTCAATGCTCTAAATAACAAAACAATCTATATGCAAAACCAAAGTGCCACACAATTATCACATACATGGTCATAGTTTAAGTGATACCTTAGCCACATACTTGGTATCATCTCCCCTTTTCTTCACTTTGACCTGCAATCAACTTAGGCATTAATATAATTGAGATTAGCACTTCACAGGAATCCTAAATCTTGTAGTTGCTTAAATGGGTGCAAAATGAGAACCAATAAATATAGGGACACCTCCTGATTATACACCAAGTTGGGAAAAGACAATCAAGGAAAAGGGTATATATCAATTTATGAACCTACAAATACAGCAAGAAATGAGATTTCTTAGATCAGCATTCAACAACAAAAAACCCTTTGAGCAGAAATTATTCTGCCCCCAAAATGCAGGAAACTGCGTGTAGTTTCCTCATTTCCTCACAATTCAAATTAAAAACCCTTTGAGCAGTAATTATTCTGCCCCCAAAATGCAGGAAACTGCGTGTAGTTTCCTCATTTCCTCACAATTCAAATTAGATTCAACATCAACAACGCCACAACAGCATCTTGTTCATGTGTGTGCAGGTCTGCAGTCATGAACTCATGCTGTAGCAAAATCAGTTGCAATGTCATCATTATAACTATGAAAGTACAAACAAAATAGGCAAGCCTTCAAACAGTGGTAAGGTTACCCAATTGTGACCTACTTTCAAGTTGCAGAAACAGCCTTCAATTGGCAGTTACGTGGCATAAATATGACCCTCCCACTGATTACTACAGCCAAATGATATGGACATTGACAATCTACCAGTGAAATCAAGAAATTGATTCACAAAAAGGTGCCGCCAACATGGATTGATTTAGGTGACTTACTGACCATTGACAAAAAACCTCAATCATGCGGCTGATATGTGGTTGGCTAATTAGTCACCACTTATGGTCCTATCCACTTTACTTATGTAAGTAACATCATCTCCAATATAACCCTCCCTATAAAAAAAAATTGAAGCTAGATGATGAAATCTTTCATTCTTTGATCTCTCTTCCTAATCTAAAATTCTCAAGATTCTAGAGTTTAAATAAAATTTCTAAAAGCTTAAATTTTGATACACTATATCTTTGATAAAACAAACTGACTATTATGTCTACTATATCTTTGATAAAGAAAAAAATAATCAATGTAATTCTCCATTTCACGCAAACTGATTTAATTATGGCCCTATCCACTTATTACTACAGTCAAATGAGATGGACATTGATAGTCTACCTGTGAAATCAAGAAATTGATTCACTAAAATGTGCCACCAACATGGATTGATTTAGGTGACTTACTGACCATTCACAAAAAACCTCAGCCAAGCAGCTGATATGTGATTGGCTAATTAGTCACCACTGATGGCCCTATCCACTTTACTTATGTAAATAACATCATTTCCAATAACACCCTCCCTATAAAATAAAATTAAAAAAATTGAAGCTAGATAATGAAATCATTCATTCTTTAATCTCACTTGACCTTTGATCTTCATTACCTCCCTAAACTTGGATAAAAACTCTATTTGAATTTCTAGTTTTACAAGACCTATATTATATATCTATTGGAGTTCTACTTAATCTAAAACCCTCAAGATTCTGGAGTTTAGATCAAATTTCTTAAAGCTTAAATTTTGATCAACTATATCTTTGATAAAACAAAAGAAAACTGACTGATTATTATGTCTACTATATTTTTGATAAAGCAAAATATAATCGTTGTAATTCTTCATTTAATCCAAACTGATTTAATTAAGGCCCTATCCACTTATTCGTACAGCCAAAATGGGATGAACATTGACAATCTAGAGTCTACTAGCGCAATCAAGAAATTGATTCACTAAAATGTGCCACCATCATGGATTGATTTAGGCAACATACTGACCATTCACAAAAAACCTCACCCAAGCAATTGATATGTGGTTGGCTAATTAGTCACGATTTATGGCCTTATCCACTTTATTTATGTAAGTAACATCATCTCCAATATCACCCTCCCTATAAAACAAAAATTGAAGCTAGATGATTAACTCATTCATTCCTTGATCTTTCTTGACCTTTGATCTTCATTACCTCCCTATCCCTGGATAAAAACTCTATTTGAATTTCTAGTTTTACGATACCTATATTATATATCTATTGAGGTTCTACTTAATCTAAAACCCTTAAAATTCTAGAGTTTAGTTCAAATTTCTAAAAACATAAATTTTGATACACTATATCTTTGATAAAACAAAAGAAAACAAACTGACTACTATGTCTACTATATCTTTGATAAAGAAAAGAATAATCGTTGTAATTTTGCATTTAACCCAAACTGATTTACTTACGGCCCTATCCACTTATCACTATATTCAAATGAGATGGACATTGGCAGTCTACTAGCGAAATCAAAAAATTGATTCACTAAAATGTGCCGCCAACATAGATTGATTTAGGTGACTTACTGACCATTCACAAAAAACTCAGCCAAGCGGCTAATATGTGGTTGGCTAATTAGTCACCACTTTTGGCCCTATCCACTTTACTTATGTAAGTAAAATCATTTCCAATAACACCCTTCCTATAAAATAAAAATAAATAAAAAAATTTGAAACTAGATGATGAAATCATTCATTCTTTGATCTCTCTTACCTCCCCAACCTTGGTTACAATCCCTATTTAAATTTCTAGTTTTACAAGACCTATATTATATACTTATTGGAGTTCTATTTGCTCTAAAACCCTCGAGATTCTAGAGTATAAATAAAATATCTAAAAGCTGATATTTTGATACACTATATCTTTCATAAAACAAATTGATTACTATGTCTACTATATCTTTTATAAAGCATAATATAATTGTTGTAATTCTCGATTTAACTCAAACTAATTTAATTATGGTCATATCCACTTATTACTACAGTCAAATGAGATGGACATTGACAGTCTACCAGTGAAATCAAGAAATTGATTCACTAAAATGTGCCGCCAACATGGATTTATTTAGGTGACTTACTGACCATTCACAAAAAACCTCAGCCAAGCAGCTGATATGTGGTTGGCTAATTAGTCACCACTTATGGCCCTATCCACTTTACTTATGTAAATAACATCATCTCCAATACCACCCTCCTTATAAAATAAAATAAAATAAATCGAAGCTAGATGATGAAATCATTCATTCTTTGATCTCTCTTGACCTTTGATCTTCATTACCGGCCTAACCTTGTATAAAAACTCTATTTGAATTTCTAGTTTTACAAGACCTATTTTATATATCTATTGGAGTTCTACTTAATCTAAAACCCTCAAGACTTTAGAGTTTAGATCAAATTTCTACAAGCTTAAATTTTGATCAACTATATCTTTGATAAAACAAAAGAAAACAAACTGATTACTAGTGAATCAATTTCTTGATTGCACTAGTAGATATGTGGTTGACTAATTAATCACCATTTATAGCCTTATCCACTTTATTTATGTAAATAACATCATCTCCAATATCACCCTCCCTATTAAAAAAAATTGAAGCTAGATGATCAAATCATTCATTCCTAGATCTCTCTTGACCTTTGATCTTCATTACCTCCCTATCCCCGGATAAAAACCCTATTTGAATTTCTAATTTTACAAGACCTATATTATATATCTATTGGGGTTTTACTTAATCTAAAACCCTTAAAACTCTAGAGTTTAGATCAAATTTTTAAAAGCATAAATTTTGATACATTATATCTTTGATAAAACAAAAGAAAACAAACTAACTATTACGTCTATTATATCTTTGATAGTGAAAAAATAATCGTTGTAATTTTCCATAATTCCATTTAACCCAAACTAATTTAATTACGGCTCTATCCACTTATTACTATAGTCAAATGAGATGGACATTGACAGTCTACCAGCGAAATCAAAAAATTGATTCACTAAAATGTGCCGCCAACATGAATTGATTTAGGTGACTTACTGACCATTCACAAAAAACCTCAGCCAAGCAGCTGATATGTGGTTGGCTAATTAGTCACCACTTTTGGCCCTATCCACTTTACTTATGTAAGTAACATCATTTCCAATAACACCCTCCCTATAAAATAAAAATAAATAAAAAAATTTGAAACTAAATGATGAAATCATTCATTCTTTGATCTCTCTTGACCTTTGATCTTCCTTACCTCTCCAACCTTGGTTACAATCCCTATTTAAATTTCGAGTTTTACAAGACCTATATTATATACTTATTGGAGTTCTACTTGCTCTAAAACCCTCGAGATTCTAGAGTATAAATAAAATATCTAAAAGCTGATATTTTGATACACTATATCTTTCATAAAACAAATTGATTACTATGTCTACTATATCTTTCATAAAGCATAATATAATCGTTGTAATTCTCGATTTAACTCAAACTAATTTAATTATGATCATATCCACTTATTACTACAGTCAAAAGAGATGGACAATGACAGTCTACCAGTGAAATCAAGAAATTGATTCACTAAAATGTGCCGCCAACATGGATTGATTTAGGTGACTTACTGACCATTCACAAAAAACCTCAACCAAGCAGCTGATATGTGGTTGGCTAATTAGTCACCACTTATGGCCCTATCCACTTTACTTATGTAAATAACATCATCTCCAATACCACCCTCCTTATAAAATAAAATAAAAGAAATTGAAGCTAGATGATGAAATCATTCATTCTTTGATCTCTCTTGACCTTTGATCTTCATTACCGCCCTAACCTTGTATAAAAACTCTATTTGAATTTCTAGTTTTACAAGACCTATATTATATATCTATTGGAGTTCTACTTAATCTAAAACCCTCAAGACTCTAGAGTTTAGATCAAATTTCTACAAGCTTAAATTTTAATCAACTATATCTTTGATAAAACAAAAGAAAACAGACTGATTACTATGTCTACTGTATCTTTGATAAAGCAAAATATAATCATTGTAATTCTCCATTTAACCCAAACTGATTTAATTAAGGCCTTATCAACTTATTACGACAGGCAAATGAGATGGACATTAACAATCTAAAGTCTACTAGTGCAATCAAGAAATTGATTCACTAAAATGTGCCGCCAACATGGATTGATTTAAGCGACTTACTAATCATTCACAAAAAACCTCAGCCAAGCGATTGATGTGGTTGGCTAATTAGTCAACATTTATGGCCTTATCCACTTTATTTATGTAATTAACATCATCTCCAATATCACCCTCCCTATAAAAAAAAATTTGAAGCTAGATGATTAAATCATTCATTCCTTGATCTCTCTTTACCTTTGATCTTCATTACCACCCTATCCTTGGATAAAAGCTCTACTTGAATTTCTAGTTTTACAAGACCCATATTATATATCTATTGTGGTTCTACTTAATCTAATACCCTTAGGATTCTAGAGTTTAGATCAAATTTCTAAAACTTAAATTTTGATACAATATATCATATAGATAAAACAAAAGAAAACAAACTAACTACTATGTCTACTATATTTTTGATAAAGAAATAAATAATCGTTGCAATTTTCTATTTAACTCAAACTCATTTAATTACGGCCCTATCCACTTATTACTATAGTCAAATGAGATGGACATCGACAGTCTACTAAAGAAATCAAAAAATTAATTCACTAAAACATGTCGCCAGCATGGACTAATTTACGTGACTTACTGACCATTCACAAAAAACCTCTGTCAAGCGGCTGATATGTGGTTGGCTAATTAGTCACCACTTTTGGCCTTATCCACTTTACTTATGTAAGTAACATCATTTCCAATAACACCCTCCCTATAAAATAAAATAAAAAATTTGAAGCTAGATGATGAAATCATTCATTTTTTGATCTCTCTTGACCTTTGATCTTCGTAACCTCC